TATATACGCAGACTTATTTCTGAACTATCTATTCTGTTCCGCTAATTATTTTGAGATTCATCTGTTTTATTACCTGTTTCATCAGTTTGTTCCTTTTGTTGTTGGATTGTATTGCATTCTATGGAAATGTAATACTTTATTCATTCACCGGTTGATGGACATTTGGGTTATTTCAAGTTTTTGCTTTTTTAAGTAAAGCTGCTATGTGTGGACATGCTTTCATTTCTCCTGGGTAGGTAACTAGGACTGGAACAACTGGGTCATATGCTTAACTTTTTAAGAATTTCCCAAATTTTTCAAAGTGAGTATATACAGTTTTATATTCTCACCAGCAGGATGTAAGAGTTCTAGTTCCTCCACATTTTCCCCAATACTTGGTTTGATTAAGAACTTACGGGGTCTGGGATTCTCTGTAACAGAATTTCTAAGCAGTCATTTATAACTTAGTTAACTACAGTTGCCCCTTGAACAACATGGGGGATAGGGGTATTGACCCCCTTACAGTCAAAAATCTGTGTATAACTTGGACTCCTCCGAGACTTTACTACGAATAGCCTATTATTGATTTATAATAGTAAATGATAACACAGATTAGTATCTAAATACATTTGTGCAATCATGACATACCTTTTTCTTAAAATTTTCAGTATTTCTAGGCAACATGGTTTTCCTGTGAGTTTTTTTTAAATTGTTGCAGATCTCCAAAAATTTTTCCAATATATTTATTTAAAAAGCACATAAAAGTGGACCTGCACAGTTCAAACCCATTGTTGAAAGGTCAGTTATATTTGAACATTGACAAATCACTTAACCTTTCTAAGTGTCAGTTTTTTAATCTATAAAATGGAAAGTTTAAAATCTGAAATTGTTTCTCATGATTATTTTAGCTTCAGAGACATTTAAAAAGCTTTAAATCTATTAAGTGGGTAATACATTCATACAGTTCAAAACATAAAGACTACAATGACAGTCTCCCACTTTTGTCCCTTAATAGTTTCCCTTTCCCAGAGGCAACCACTGTTACCAGTTTTCCTTTCACACATATCATATGCTTCCTCATTCTTTTTTCAGCTACACAGTATTCTATACCAATATACCCCAATCATTTAGCTAGCTGCATAGGGATGGACATTTTGGTTAGTTCCAACTTTTATTACAAACAGTGCTGCAATAGGCTTATACATATAAGCTGTGAGCATACCTATGGATAATTGCCTAGATAAAACCAGTGATATCTGCTACTCCTCAAAATTCAGGACTTACCAATACCCTAATGAATAAAGCATCTGGCCCAGGAACTGTCTTTTAAGAATGCAATCATTACTCCAAGGGAGCAGAAGCTTCTTAAGATTAGCACTCATATAATGGAAAAGACACTGGAGTTGGGAATCAGAAGAAATGGGCTGGAGTTCTAATTCTGCACTCACTGTTCCCTTGACCATTTGGAACCTGTTTCCTCATATGTCAAAACAAAATAGCAATGCTTCTTCCATAGGCTTGAGATAATGGGAATGGATTTTGATTGATAGGATACTCAACTATCAGTTTTCTTCATCTTATTATGAAATGGTTAATTTAATCTTTCAAACTCTTGCTTTTGAGCTGGATCTCGCAGACCTGTTAATATCACATGTGAGTCCTCCAAGAGACATGGACTCCCAAAACTCTCCAGCTCTTCCTAGCATTAAGCCCCACTGATTTTCAAAGTCCAATGTTACGGGGCCTTATCTTCCTGGTGCAGGTCTCCTGTGCCAGGTGTGCAGTATTTCCAGGAGTTTATCTCCTCCCCACCCTGTTCCTCACTCCTTTCCACTTACTGGTTGGGATGGGGTAATGGCTTGGATCCTGCTTTTTCAGGGTGCTTCCCCTTTTTCCTTCTCAGTGTGGCCTCCTCTTTTTCGTTAGCTGTAAAAGGTCTTTCTCCCAGTCTTCAGGTCATTTTCAGAGCTATTTGTATTAGATGTTGTTGCTCCTTTGGTATGTACTTGGGAGAAGGTTATCTCAGTGACCTATTCTGCCATCTTCCCAGAATCACTCTTTTGTATATTTTGGATAACATTCTGCTATTGTCTGAATGTTTGTGTCTTCCCAAAAGCTGTATGTTGAAATCCTAATTCCTAATGGTGGTATTAGGAGGTGGGGCTTTGGGGAGGTGCTTTGGTTATGATGGGTGCACTTAAAAAAGAGACCCCACAGAGCTCCCTAGCTTTTTGCATCCCAGAAGGGCCTCACCCACCCATGCTGGTACCTTTATCTTGGACCTCCCAGCCTCAAGAACTGTGAGAAATTAATGTTTATAAGCCATCCAGTTTATGGTGTTTTTCTTAAAGCAACCTAAACATACTAAAACATAGTTCTTTACCACATCTTTACAGATTTCTCCACTTTGTGGCTTGTCTTCTCCCTCTCTTAATAAAAAACATTTATAGTGCTTACTTGCCATCCATATATCTTCTTTGGTGAATTGTATGTTCAAATGTTTAGTCTTTTTTTAAAAATTTGCATTGTTTCATTGCAGTGTTTCTAAAATTGCATTTTTATTCCTGAATTTTTAGAGTTCTTTATATACACTCTGGAAACAAGTCCTTTATGTGATAAATGCTTTGCAAATATTTTCTTCCAGTCTGTTTCTTGTCTTTTTATTATTTTAACAATGTCTTTTAAAGAAACAAGTTTTTAATTTTGATTAAGTATAGTTTATCAATTTTTTTTATGGATAGTGCTTTTGGTATCATATCTAGGAAATCTTTACCTAACCCAGTTGGACATAAGGTAACAAAGATTTCCTCATGTTTTCTTTTAAAAGTGTTATGATCATTTTGTAATCATTTTGAGTTTTTGTATATGGCATGAGGTAAGGCTTCAAGTTTTGGGTTGGTTTTTGTTTTTGGTTTTTTGCTTATGGTTGTTCAACTGTTCCATCACTATTTCCTTAAAAGGCTGTCCTTTCTTCATTATACTTTGTTCTTTTATCAAATATTAATTGTCCGTATATACACAGACTTATTTCTGGACTATCTATTCTGTTCCGCTAATTATTTTGAGATTCATCTGTTTTATTACCTGTTTCATCAGTTTGTTCCTTTTGTTGTTGGATTGTATTGCATTCTATGGAAATGTAATACTTTATTCATTCACCGGTTGATGGACATTTGGGTTATTTCAAGTTTTTGCTTTTTTAAGTAAAGCTGCTATGTGTGGACATGCTTTCATTTCTCCTGGGTAGGTAACTAGGACTGGAACAACTGGGTCATATGCTTAACTTTTTAATAATTTCCCAAATTTTTCAAAGTGAGTATATACAGTTTTATATTCTCACCAGCAGGATGTAAGAGTTCTAGTTCCTCCACATTTTCCCCAATACTTGGTTTGATTAAGAACTTACGGGGTCTGGGATTCTCTGTAACAGAATTTCTAAGCAGTCATTTATAACTTAGTTAACTACAGTTGCCCCTTGAACAACATGGGGGATAGGGGTATTGACCCCCTTACTTGCCCATGTATGCTCTCTCCTACCCCTTTCCCTTTCCTCCAGAGAAAACCAGTCCAGATTTTGGTGTTCATCATTCACATTCATATTTTTATACTTAAGGCTATATAAACAAAACCAAGGTATTGTTTTACATTTGTAAATTTTGTACAATGATACAATGTACAAATTTTGTACAAATGATACAAATTTATCATTTGGCATCTTGTTTTTACTAGTTTGAGATTTGTCCATGTTCATATATTTAGCTCTAGTGCATTCATTTTAACTGCTTTATATTTTTATAACCACAATTAATTAATAAGCCATAATTTATCCATTCTTTTGTTGAGGAGCATTTAAAATGCTCCCTTTCGTTTTTTTTTTTTTTTTAACTTTTGGTCAATACAAGCCATGCTGCAACAAATAGTATGGTATAAGTCTCCTTGGGCATATACCGATTTGCTGTTGCATATATGGAACTGCTGGGTCAGAAGGGGTATTCACGTTTATCTTTACCAGATATCGTCAAAGCCAAAATGGATGTATTAATTTACACTTCACTAGCAGTGCATGGGAGTTCCCCTTTCTTTACATACATTCCAACAACTGAAGTTGCTAGACACTAAATGTCTGTGTGATATCATGATCATTAAGTTAACGTACAATGAAATACCACTACACACCTATTAGAAGGGCTAAAAAAAAAACCTAACTGACAATACATAGTGCTGACAAGGATGTAATGCTGCTGGAATTCTTTGTATTATCCTGCTAATGGGAATACAACACAAATACAATCCAGAACAATGCTGGTATGTACCAAAGGGTAGTCAGACAATACAGCAACCTTACTCCTAGGTATTTATCCAAGAAAAATGAAACATGTCCACACAAAAACTGGTATATGAGTATTTTATGATGGCTTTATTCATAGTTATTAAATATCTTGTTATAAATAAGTTTTTATATAGTCAGATATAGCTTAGGTTTTTCTTTGAGAGCAATTTTGGATAGGGATCAAAGAGAATTCTGAGAGCAACTGGCACTTGGTGGGAAAGGTGCCCCATCAAAGGAACACTGCCACTAAAATCTAAGTTCATTCACAACTATTTTGTCAAAGCTTAGCTATTATAGGGCTGATCTTTTGAGATAAAGACTACATCTAGGAAATAATTTTTAATTCTAAAAATCACCACTTTCATCCTTGGAAACCAAGAGAAACTTCAGCGGTTTGTATCCTCCATCAGAGACCAAAAAGAAGGTACATATAATAAATACACTATGGAATATAGCAGAAAAGAAACTAGTTGTAGGATTTGCAGATAAAATATAGGATGCCCAAATTTGAATTTCCAGTAAGTTTTTTCATGGGTCATATTATCCTAACATACCATCTGTTGTTTGTCTGAAATTCAAGGTTAGCTGGGTATCAGGTGTTTTTATTTGCCAAATGTGGAAACTCGGAATGGTGAGAAACTTGAATGAGATGGTCCTATTTAATGTAACTCAGCCTTGAGAAGAAATTCAATTACTTGTGCAGAATAATCATTTATTATATTACATGGAATTTTTAAGCTGTTCACAATAGAACTTTTGAATATGAACTTGGCATGATACAGATTACAAAATGAAGATACCTTCATGATTTTAACTACAAATTCAAAAATTAGAAACACTGCCCTTCCTATTCTGCTTAAAAAGATACAATGGGCCTATGTGAATAGAAAAATTTTTGTGGCTCTCAACAAGGAAAATATCTTTTGATTTTGTAACTCAAAAAATATTTCTACTCTGTGAAAGCCCTCAGCATGTATTTGTTAGAAATTCTCCATTAATACAAACTCCATGGTAAGAGTTACTCACCCTTCACTAATGATGAATGCCATCACATGCTGTAGTCTTCCATAATGGGATAAAAGTCTGTGGGTAACCACATGAAAGTAATGGAAGAGGGAAGAAGAAACAAGGAGAGAAGGAAAAATAATTAATCAGTTTAAGAATATTTTAAATTGGGGATTGGACTGTTAAACAAGTCTAAACACTTTTCAAATGTCATTTTAACAGTTATCACTTTATGAAAAGGACCCCAAAGACAACTTTTAAATATCTGGCTTTTACATAAGGATTACTAGTGAAAAACAGAAATAGCATTTCACAGTTTTTGACCATATTACCATGTGTTAGATGCCAGACCAAGCACTTTGTGAAATACAGCTATAACGAAGGAGTACCAAGGAACTAAACATCGAGGAGAGAAAGACACACATGCAATATAATACAAGGTAAATTTTCAAGTAAAATAATATTTTGAAAATTCTATCAGCATAAAAGAGGATGATATTCTGGTTGTGGTGGTACAAAGTGAGCAGAAACTTTATGGAAAAGTGGATCTTGAGATAGATCTGAACAGGCAGGCATGAGAGTGGTGGCGACAACAGGAGCAGGAGGAAGAGGCGGGCAGGTGCTACGGTTGGGTTTTAAAGCAGCAAAACTGCTTAATACATGATTTTGGAAAAAATTATGTGCAAAATGAATAGTGCTGCTTGACCTGGCTTCTAACTCAGGTCTGTTCTTGTCATCAGTTCATTACCACCAATTTATCCTTCCCTACGTGCTTGGAGCACTTTAGTTTCCATCTCTCCTCCCATTTGCCTAACCAATTCATAATCCTCACTGGGCTCACTTACACTGTGGCTTTCTTTACAAAGCCGACAACCTCTGCCTACAAACTAGTTGGTTTCTCTACCATTATCTCATGGCATGCCCTAACTTCATGTGCTTATCACATCATCACATCTGTAGTTCAGAATTACATGGGTTAACCATTTAACATCTACCTTATTTAAACTCTGCATTCTATGAAGGCAGGGACCTTTATTTGTTTTGCTCACTGTTGTGGCTCCTAGGCCTTAGGGCAATGCCTTGCACACAGAAGACACTCGATAAATTGTTGATGAATGAATTCTCATAGTAGTTTTTATGTGTGGTTGAATATTAGTTCACATGCTTTCAAAATGCTAATAGCTATGTTAAATTACAGCGCTAATAAGAAAGGTATATAAGCCAATTAATAGCTTAATCCATATAGATTTTCAAAATTTAAAGCAATTTCACAAAAAGCAGAGTATGTATGTCTTAAGTACAAACATCTTTCTTAGTGAAAGACCAGAAAATTAGAACTTTAACACGGCAAACAATAAAAGCATACAGGGTCATACTAAACCAGCAACCTCCACAATCTTCAAATAACTTGATTTTATAGATAGCACCTTCCATTTTAAAGAGTGTTTGTTTAAACACATGGGAGAGCTAACTATTCAAAATTTAGCTAAACTCAAACATGCAATATCCAAATTTAGTAACTAGTCAGTATTCACTTACATTCATAATCCTTCCCAGCCCCAAAATTAAAGGCTTTTTAACAGTGTCCACATATCCACCCAAAGAATATGTAATTTTGCCTTCCATAGCAAAGTCCCAATACTTTGTTACCAGTTTTATATTGATTAGAAGGGACAGTAGTCAAGTTGATACCTAGTTATCTCATTTAATGAATTGCTACTGAAAGAAGTTATTAAAATATCTAATGTATGAATCTAAGTTGCTTCCTACTTCGAAATGGATTTGAATGACACACTTTTTTCATTTTTCTAATTAAGTACTAGAAATATTTTATTGTAAGGACTGAAGAATATATTGAATATGTTTTGTTTTGTGAAGTCTGATTTTCCAACTGCAAGTTACTGGCACTTAGGGAAAAAACAATCACTTAAATGACAACTAAAAATATAAAGCCTATGTTTAAAACATGGCCTTTATTAATACTGCCCACTGAGCTCCATTTTTATTTTACACTGAAGTATTTCTGCTTTGCAAAGAAAAGACAGGAAAGTGCATTTTACAAGAGTACTTTTTTGTTTTTAATTCTCTGCGAAAATGGAAGAATCTGAATCACAAGTTCACAATGTGGTAAATGAAATTAAGAAACAATGATTTCCGTAATGCTATGCCATCACTAGTGTTAGGCTCTGACTTTGTTCTTGTAAATCAGATCTTGATATACAGTCTAGAGCATCTAGGTTATTATTACACTACAGCATATTAAACACAGAAAAGGTGGTTTTAAAAAAACCCCTTTTAATGTACAAACATGAATTTAAAAACTGATTTTTAAAAATCACCTTTTTACATAATGTATATGGCAAAACTGCTTTAAATACATGGTTTTGGAAGAGTTATTTACAAAAATGTATTAGTCTGTGGAACAATTCACAGACAGAGCATACATAGTTACTTTATTTAGTTGTTGCATCTCAACTTTGGGAGATATAAATTTATTCGGCAGTACAGCAAACATAAAAACTGTGACAAAGTATCTTAAGGGCAACCAAAAATTTGATCCTCAAAACAGTTTAAATACTAGGACTGCCAAAGTTTCTAAATGAGGACATATTTTAATGATCTGGATGCCCATTTATAGTTTTATACTGTTTGAAGGACTGAGACAGACTCCCTTCAATACAGGTAAAGCTGCTGGGTGCAAACTCCTGTAAAAGGGACAGCTGACAGCTATTGTCATCCAAAGAGTGAATTAACCTAGAATTTTCTTTTTTTTCAATTTTATTGATATTTTAAAAAATACATAAAAATACAACATCCAATGTCTGAATAAATATATTTAACAAGTTGCAAGATAATACCTTATTTTACACAAAATTTTCAGCTTTAGAAATCTTGTTAAATAACTTCACTGTTGTTATATATTTCATTTTTGTTTTTTTGTAACAAAATAAAAACTCTGAAATTACATAGAAAAAAGACAAAATATTTTTGTCAAGGGATAAGATAGTCCACTGAAAACTTATTCACAATTCCACTGTAAACATTAATAAACATTAAAATATTTGCATAATTGTGTGCTCAAAAATCCTATAAAAAGTGGAAGACTTATTACAACTGTAGTTTTCAGTCAACTACACTTCCTTTCACAATTTATTTTGTCCCATTTACACCTTTAAACCTGGGCACACTGCTAAACATATACTTTGGCAGTTCTAAATAGCAAGTGCTTCCACAGAAAAAAAAAAACACATACACACAAAAAAAACAACAATAATAAAAATAATAAAAATACAACATAAACCCCCTATTCACCAAATGTTCAAATACATCTTAGTGAAAGTGCAGCAGTAAATATTCAGCTGGATATTTTGATGTTTATATGTGCACTTGCTTATCTATGATTTCTATAACACCTGAAAGCTTTATTATACAAATTCAAATTTGCTAAGTGCCCTTTTTCTATCTTCACAAAAAATGGAAAAAAAATTAAAGAGGAAAAACATGACAAATAATGGCAAACTGCCTAACCTTCAATTATTAGTCAGCTTATTTTTTGCAACAGAAAAAAAAGAAAAGAGAAGGGAATAGATACAATCCAGCCTGGTAAAGTATAAAGGATATACTTAGCAATGGCAAACCAGTTGAGTGCTTTCTGTGGTTGTATTTCAGGATTTGAGGATTTATGTCCATGGCAGTACACTGCTGGGAAGGCAGAGAGAATGTTTATCACCTGCATTCTACAGCAAGTACATTTTGTGGAGGAGATGAAGAGGAGGGACTCATTCCAGTGTCTGACGAAGCAGATGACATGGAGGCTCCTGCATGAGACACTGTGGAATCAGAACTACATTAGACTCAAAAACTATCATACAAAGATACCCAGCCCCTGGCAAGTTGGAAATACATTTTTTTAACATTATTAACTTCAATTATAGTCCTCTTAAATGGTACACGAAGGAATAACAAACTGTTAGCAAAAACTTTGGCTCAGTTGAGTGGAATCAGTCTCTGGTCAGTTAAGTAACTCAGTTCAAAAAAGGCACCATAAAATGTAAAGAGTAAAGAGATATAAACTCTTAAACCCCTACTTGAAAGATTCCTGGAAGGAACTCAGTTTACCCCAATCAAAAACAAGGTCAACCTGACACAGATTCTCACTATTACAAATTTTGGCTTTATCTCTGGGGTTACAGGATCATAGAAGAATTCACTTATCCCACAGAATTTACTATAACCATCTAACTACTGGCCTCCTATCCTTATCCTGCCTCAGTACTTTAGTTTATGAACACAACAGTCCCATAAGCAAGGGTAGTTACTTAGGTCAGGTATCAGAATCACAGGAATCACGATGATTATGTGGGTGTGTGATCTGAAATAGTCCCCAAATGACTTTAATATTAAACTCTCAGGACATTCCACAGATTAAGGATCACTACTTTGCATTATGTGTTCTGCTGTTTTTACCTTTTATCTTCTCTTTTCTTTGCAAAGCTCTTCTGTCTCCTGCCATCTTTGCCCAATTATTCCTATTTTACTTAAAGTTCTAATTTTTGTTTGTTTAAGCATCTCTTAATGTGTGTCATACCAATATGACATGTAACTCATTACTACAAATTATAATATCTATGCTGGAAGTCATTTAGTGTCTCACTTCAAGAACTCACTTCACACTACAAAAGATTAAGAATACAAAAAGGAAGAAGACTGTAATAAAAGAATCTTTTTAGTTATCCACAATTTATATCACATTTAGGAAACTCAAAGCAATTGAGGGTTAAGAAATTTCAATTTGTTAACCTGCTCTTTTCTACTCTTCTCAGCTTCCAAATATTTAAAAGTTCTGTAAAGACTTCGTTATTTACAGTTTTCAAAGAAAAGGACAAACCTGGAAAGTTTGGTCTCTTCCAATATGCTACAACTTATTTTCAGGAATTAAAAACTGCTAGACTTGGAGTAGAATGATTCCAGACCACGTATGACAGACAGGTCACCCTATTGGTAATCCTGCCCCTCTCTGACATTGGTGGACAACTTCTCTCAATATAAGCAAGCCTATCATGTAATTTACCTTTTTTTTCTTTTAAAGATACATCCCTCCCAGAGCCCTGACCTCCTTTTCTATCCTGTTCCTGAAATAGTTGCTTTCTAGGCCAGCTGTGCAGTGGTCATTTAGAGCTTCTATTCACCACAACTCTGAGATTTTCCTTCCTGTTTTCCTGTGTGGGATTCTTTGTTTGCTGGGTCTCACACTGTCTCACTGGCTTGGCTTCCAGGGTCTAGTGCTATCATTGAGAAATCTGGCAGGAGAAACCTGATGCTGTTCTGAGACCCATTTTTTTGTATGTACCTTTATGGTAAATTTTTAGGATCTTCTCTATTCATACAGTTATGAAATTTCATAATATGCTTGGGTGTGTCTCCATCCACCCCCCAATCTTCATAGAGGTCACAATGAATCCTTTCAATCTTCTAACTCATATCCTACAGTTCTGCAAATTTTCTTATAATTTTTCTTTGGTAGCTTTCTCCTGTTTTATTCAGTGCTCTTTTTCTAGAAATCCTGAATCAGAAGGTGGATCCCCTGCCAAATCCTATACTTCTCTTAGTTCTTCCTTCCTATTGTCTTTTTACCTTCTACTACCATTTATTGTCTCTTTTCTGCTAAATTTATTTTATTCCTTTCCTAGTTTTAATTTTTAAGAGATTCTTCCAGTTTTCTGAATTTTATTAATAGTATCATATTCTTGTTTCAAGCAGTATCCTTCCTATATCTCTGATATTAATTAGTTTGGTGTTTTTATATGGTACATTGTCTACTTTTCCCAATTTCCTTTTTATTCTGCTTTTCTACATTGGTTTTTCTCTTTTTGTAGAGGCTTTCTTATCTGGTTTTATGGCTTCCACATTAAAGAAAGGGACATTAAAAAGCTAATTGGAAGCTGTGCACAAACACACAGGGCTTTTCAATGATGCAGTGATTGACAAGGAACCTACTTTTTGGATCAGGAATTTCCAATTGTTGGTATGTATGTTAGATCATTTCTCTTGGGTTGGCCAGTTCCTCTAGAGGAACTCATTTATATCCTCCCAGGAATGAGCATAAGCCTATTTGTCAGCTTTCAGGGAACCCTGAAGAGAAGAGCTTCAGTTGGAAAAGGGGTAAGAGTGTCATCATTTGTACTGCAAACTTGTGCTCAAACTCATGACTTCTGCTCTAGCACTGAACCCTCACCTCCAGCTGTGGTGGGTGTCTCTGCCATAAGCCTAATGATGCCCTCACCTGCCAATAAGTTTATTTCCTATTTTCTGCTGAGTTGCAAAATAAAGTAGTTTGCTTCACAGGGTGGGATGAAAGGATCCAATTTCTCTTTCCACTTTCAACCAATCTCCATTCTTCAGCCTCACCCATACCCCTGCCTTCAGAGCTTTCCTGGAGTGAGGTGGTATAAATTGGCCTGTTTCTGGTTTCGTCCCACTGCAAGGTAAACAGGCTTAGATTTTAACATTCTCTCAATTGATAGAACAGTAACAATAGTCTGTCTGCTTCTCAGCTTCCAAAAGATGTGCTGCTGAGATGGCTTGTCTGCAGTGGTCTGCTATCCTGTCCTCCGGTCCTTGTGGGTAAATGGCTTGTAGTTCATTTTACTGTTACTATAGTGGGGCTTGGGGATGGATTCGAGATGAATGTGTCAGTGTTTAACTAGAAGTGAATCCTACACATTTTTAAGGTTTAGGTCAGACACCGCTCTCTCTTCATGATTACTCCAAACTAATTTCTCCTCCCACCGAGCCCTATACTCATTAACATAACTCTTGGGGCCCTCATCACACAATGTCCCACTAGATGTTAACGTCTTTGAGATAAAGGTCTGTATCTCATTTGTCTCTGTACTTCTGCTGCCTGGAAAAGGGTCTGGCATGTGATGTGTACACACTGATGATGTTTACCTGAACAGTAGTTGCTTAGAAAAATAATTTATCACCCTAATAAGATAATCTTAACAAGATAAGCTATAGCCTACTCATTTTTATGAACCCCATAATAACAAATATAGTGCCTGCTAACAGGCAGCCAACAAATGTTGAATAAAGAGTGAATTTCAGAGGGAGTAAGCTCTTCGTGAGAACCCACCACGTTTAGTAAAATCACATTTTGTAAAGTTCATAGTTCCTTTCAAGAGTCTCATCTGATTAATTCAGTTGTTGATGCACTCATTTTAATAGCAACAAAGAAACCACTAGGAATCTAAAAACAAGAATTAATAAATGTGTACTATATTCAGAGTGACAAACCTAAATCTTCTAAAAATGACAGGATATATTTGAAAAACAGAGGAAAGAAAAATTATAATCAAATTACCTTCTCTGTCTTTCTTTTTTAATCTTTTTCTCCTCCTGTCTATCGTTGCAACTTCAGACTTCAGAGACATGTAATATTTTCTTATTTCCTGCAGTTTTTCTTGGAGAAAAGAGATTCTCTCTGTACTATTCATATTATCTAATTCATCTAAAAGAGAAAAGAAGTGAATTTGGATTTTTAAAATAATTCTATGAGAAAAGATGGCAGTTCTATCAAAAATCCAACTCATAAATCATTAAAAGCTTTAAGTTTATCAAAACTTACCATATTAAGCAAAATAAGGCTATATAAGTAGGGAAGACATTAAATTCATGAGTAAGATTTCTTTATATATATCCTAAATTTTTATACTAAACATGTATTCCTTAATGATATATTAAATGATCAGAAAAACACAAAACACTGACACAGCACACTTGATGTATAACTACAGTTATTTATCAAATAGTTTCTTTGTATTGTTGTCTTCTTCATTTACTAGTTATTTCCAATTGTCAATACTAGAAAGGGTATTGCAGTTTCACTGATTTAAACCATACATGTCTTATTTCATAACTGGAGATCTTCCCCCAGTAATATTTATCAACTTAGTATTATGAAAGGACACAGATTTATATTTAAGGTATCAAGCAGTGATTATTGATAAGCCATTATTTGGAAACCTAAATAAATGAATTTGCTAATCATTATTCCTTATTTTGACATTTTAAGATATATACATTTATGTATTCTACAAGCTTCTTACTGAGTTGAAAGCTCCACTTATATGTCCTAGGGGATGAATTTGGATGTTTTTCTCTGTGTTTATCTTTTTCTCCATCTTTGATGTGAGGGGATATTCTTGCAGGAGATCGTGCAAGCTTCTGAGGCTTAGATACATTAAGATGCTTTACTGGGGTACATTTACTTGAATTGTCTAGGACAGGAAGATCTTCACTATCACTGCTTTGTCCTATAATAAGAAAAAAATGGACTCAGATTATAAATGATAAAAATCTCAAATATCAAAATGCAATGGACTCGGCAACTACAATTTCTGGTATCCTACAGATAGAAGTGCACAAATGTGCATTTTTTAGTAGTAAAGAAATGTAAATGCCCATCAATAGTGAAATGGTTAAAATTATATACTATTGAATACTTTGCTAAAGTTGTTACAGAGAGTGAGTTCGTGAGAACTAAAATGGCAAAATATTGTTAGATGAAAAAGCAAAGCATAAAACAGTGGTGTTTAGGATTGTTCCATTTATGTTAAAAATAAATAAACAAAAACCACCAAAAAGAGGATCAACCTCAACTATGTATATGAAAAAGCACAAAAAAAGATGTTGATGTATACACATCATTCAATATAATAAAATGTGAACAGGCAATTGTTTGCAACTCTGCAGCTCTCCTCACCAAATCTGTAATTTGAGATGCTTTTGGTTTTCACTTAATAACAAAATAGAATTCTCTCTCAATTTTATTTCCTTTTTTCCAAGCTCTACACCATACTTTCATCCTATTCATTCTCAAAAGCCAACCTTGCCTTCTACTGAAAAGTAAAGTTGAGGGTTACACATTTAATTTCCCAGCCTTCCCTTATCTGCATTTGTCCTTATTGTCTTTTTTTTTGGCCTCAAAAAGGAGACTGTTTCCGAGCAGACTAATCTCTTTAGCTATACTCTTACAACCATCTACTCCCAGCTCCTCTGGAATATCCCAATGTCAATTATCCATATTTTATTTCAACTTCTTTTCCTAGAGTCTTATTAACATGCTTAGTTCCCAATTATCCATATTTTATTTCAACTTCTTTTCCTAGAGTCTATTAACATGCTTAGTTCTTGACCACACTTAGAGAGGGAGGGAGGACAGAGAAGGAAATCTTCCCTCCCTTTAGATGGCACCTCTTTCCTTCTCTCTGGTGTCAAATGTCTTGAAAGAAATTCTTTGGTATCCTGACTTCCACACCTTCTAATGACATCCCTATGTTCTTGTTAGAGTCCCAAACACTTACGACTTGCCAAATTCAATAAATGTATTTTAATCCTACTGAATATCCTGTAGCATCTGAAACTTTTCTTATTCAAATCCACTAGTGTTTACTGATTTTCATTTATCTCTGATCAGTGTCTACTCTACTCTTCTTGATCCCTATAAAGGGATATCCTAGATACGTTTAATTTTGGTCCTTTTCCTATTCATTTTACAACTCTCCCACAGCAATTTCATCATTTTGTCATCTCAACAACTGTCTTCTAAAAATAATTTCTTCTAAGCTCCAGGCCCCTGTTTTCCTAATACTAACTCAACATTCCCTAAAATTATTCTTCCAACAACCTGCTACTACTACTGTATTCCATATGTCAGTTAACCAGTTCCTCATATCTAATAACTGAGTACCAGTGATTTTATTTCCCAAGTCTCTTTAATTCATTCCTTCTTTCACTGTTTTAGTTAAGCCAAAGATTCTTTCCATAAACTAAAACTGATCATTTTCTTTTTCCTTCTTTAATCTTTTTAACTTTTTATTTTGAGAAAATCTTCAAACTTTCAAAAAACTTGTAAGACAACAGGAGCCAAAAAATGTTTTCTGACCCATGTGAAGGTTAAGTTGCCCTGCCATACTTGAGTACTTTGGTATTTATTTCTTATATACATGAACATTCTTCTTGTGTTAGTTATCTACAAATTAGCCCAAAATTTAGCAGTTTAAAACTGTAAATGATATCTCACACAGTTCCTGAGGGTCGGAATCTGGGAGCAGGTTGGCTGTGAGGTCTGGCCCAGAGACTCTTGTGAAGTTGCAGTCAAGCTTGTCGCTGAGGCTGTGGTCTCTGAAAACTTGACTGGAGCTGGAGGATGTGCTTCCCAGATGGCTCACTCACATGGCTGTTGGCAGGATACGCTCAGTTCCTCATTACGTGGGCTTCTCCATAGGTGCGTGAGTGTCCTCACAACATGGCAGCTTACTTCTCCCAAAGCAAGTGATCCAAGTGAGAGCAAGGAGCAATTTGCAGTGCCTTTACGACCTATTCTCTGAAGTCATACTCTATCACTTCCACTTTAGTTTGTTAGGAGCAAGTCACTGAATTCAGCCCACACTCAAGGGAAGGGAATTAGGTTTTGTCTCTTTTGAAGAGAAGAGTATCAACAAATTTGCAGGTATGTTTTTAAAACTACCACAAGCATATAGAACCATAACACAACCATCAAAATCAGGAAAGTAACAAATATATTATTACCATCCAATCCTCAGATCCCATATAAGTTTCTCTACTAGACCTGATAATGTCCTTTATAACACCAGGATCCAGATGAGAATCATATGCTGTATTTAGTTGTCATGTCTCATAAGTCTCCTTCAATCTGGAACAGTTCTTCTTTCTTTGACTTTGATGACCTTGACAACTTTTTTAATTACAGGCCAGTTTTTCTAGAAGATATCCTTCACCTTGTCTTTGATGACGGTTCCTCATGATTATTTACACATCTTCGACAGAAATACCACAGATGTGCTATGCTCTTCATTCTTGTTATTGCATCCTGCCAGATGGCACATGATTTCAATCTGTCCCATTACTAGTGGTGCTCATTTGGATCATTTGACTAAGGTGATGTCCACCAGGCATTGTCAAAGTTACTCATTTTCCCTTTGTAATTCTTGCCACCTTTCTAGTCTCATCTCCCATCACTCTTTCTAGCCTCTGGTCCTGTATTATCCAGGAACCAGCCACATGTAGCAACTGAGAACTGAAATGCAGTTCCAAGGCTTTCCTTTGAAAGTCTTTCATCTTACATGAATCATGTGCTTCTTCCTTGGAAAATGTATCTATTATAACCTAGACTTTCCCTGCTAGACTTGTACGAAGGCATGTTTTGGAGGTAAAAGTTAATTTTGTCAAAATCAACTATGTTTATTTCTACTATATTTTTCAATTTAATTTTATCCCTTATTGTACAAGTCTGTTTTTCATGTAATCTATTCTATTCATGTTTACTGATTTCATTGTTTCAATAAGAATTTTATATATTTCCCATGTTTTAAAATTACTATACTATTTAGAAATCAACTTTTCTAGATTACAGAAAAACATTCCATTCAGAAATGTAACTTAATCTGCTTTTTTTTTGTTTTTTTAAGCAGAGTGAGTTTTATTTAGTTACTTAAAGAGAAGTACAGCAGGCAGCCTCAGTAAGGAGAGGCGCCCTGAAAGGGTGGGGAGAGAAAGTTAAAGATTAAAAGGTTACACACTTAGAAAGTGTGGGCGACCTCAGAGAGAGGAGCCTACTTAATCTGCTTTAACCAGCCCAGTAAACTTTCCTTTCCTTTTGTTCAAGATTCTCAAGTATGTTCCTCTAACATTAAACTGTTTTACCTAAGAAATACGAATGAAGTAAACATAAAAAATGATCATAGCTATCCCACATCTGAATAAAATGGACATGCACCTTCATGTAAAAAAAATACTGGATGAATTTCTATTTTCGGAACACAAAAAACCAAAGTTATTTTTAAATTGTCACAAATGATCAAACCAACAAACTGCTGAAATATTAACACTTTTTTAAAGCCAGCATTGAAAAGCACCCACCTGTTCCATTCTTGTCATTTTTGGCTACAGCACTTGTTCGCTTTGGGGTACGCTTTTGCTTTTTCGCTAGTAATCCGCTATTTCCATCACTCGGCCTTTTCTGACCTGAAATAAGGGGAAAGAGAGAACTTGAAAAAAAAATCAAGAGTGAGTATATTTATTCACTTGTCTATTCTACATGAATTTCCATATATTCATCTACAGGAGGGGGTGAAGGGGAGAAAACTACGATAGAAGAAGAGTCCCTGAAACTCTTAGCTTACTAATTTTTGGTTTTACTATAAAGGCTTATTTTTCTCCCTAGAAAGTCCTTACCCTTCTCTCTGATCTCTCTTTCTTGAATAATTATACTACAGGTACCAGAGGCAACACTGGCTTCAAAACCATTTGCTGATTCCCTCTCACAGAGACCTTCTTGGGATTCTTCAGCAATACTATCAACTTCAATGGTAATATCACTCTCACTTTTTATACTTCGAGACTCATCTTGACTGAGAGTAAGTGGTGAAGCTACTGGAAAGTTGTGCTGTACTACAGCAGGTAGGGCAGGTGGAAGAGAAACAAGACAGTTAGACTCAGAGCTTTCAACTACTATGTCCTCAATACTGGTTTTATCCTTTTCATCCAAATCATCCAAATCGACTTCATGGCAAACCAAGGTTTCAGGCCCAATCAGAGGCATTGCATCCTCCTCTTCTTTTAGTGGGGTATTTACAGTTTCTTCAGCTGGACTATCAGTTTTTCCACTTGCTAATTCCTGAATGTGTTGGTTTGACTCTGCTATTAACGATGGCATTCCTTCATTTTCTATTTCAAAGTGTTCAAAATTTAAATTTTTCATTCCCTCAGGTGCAGCACAATCACTGGTCCTTTCTTGAGATACAGTATTTGTTATTTCCATTCCATTCTCAAGTCTTATTTTTTTCTCTGGTGATGGCTGTCCCAGTATTTTCCGTTTCAGCTTTTTGTCTTTTATACATTGGTCAATTTCATCTTCAGTGGCAGGAGAAAAGTTTTTACCCTCCAATGAAGAAAATTCTAGACTCTGAGCTTCTATATGAGGTTCACTTCCTGCTTCATCATGGCTAAATGATGAAATCTTTACAATCTCTTGAGAAAGATCTTTTGTCTTGTTTCGTCTTCCCTTTCCTTTAGGAGATTTTTCTGCCTCTTTCTTAACTTCTTCTGCTTGCTCCACTTTATTTCCAAAAACCTGTACTATTTGTTCATTCTCTCCAACTTCTAATTTCAAGGAGTCTAAGGGCTGCATTTGAGTCCTATCGTTTTCTTTTAATATATGTACAGTAATCTTTGGATTTTCTTCATCTAGTTTATTATCATTTACATTTTCATTTTTTTCTAGTTCTTTAATATCAGGAGAAAGTTCTTCATTCATCAAATTCCTTTCTAACAGGTCTTCTGTTTCACTATCAGATGAACATGAGTCTGCAAGAGAAAATATTATTCTATTACAAAGGTTTCTATCTTAATTACCAGTGTAGTTTTATAACAAAATTCTGCTAAAGATAATAAAACTCATAATCATGTACCTCTGAAAACCTCCTTCTGGAAACTTCTGATTTAAAAAGAAGTCACACATTTTTGCCAAAAATGAAGAGGAGGATTTCAAATTAAACTCCATATAAAAATACATTACATAGAAAATATTACTATCAGCTCTATAAAAAGCTATTTTGCAGTTTTCACTGATGTCATATTTAGGCTATGATAATTCTTACAAAATCAAAGGACCAATACTGAGATACGAAGTTAATATATTAAGTGGTTTGATCTGAGATCTAGTAGGTACAGATTAATAAATGTGATGGCCATTTTGTGACCTTAGAAAGGAATATGAAATTCTGCTTAATTCTGGAATGAAGAGATATACAAATAAGCAATCTGAATTCTCAAATCTTTAAATATTCTTCTAATTAGGAGACATGAAAATACAAGCAAGCTATCTTCTTGCTAAAGAAATCATTCTTTAAGTCAGAAAATTTTTTAAATAATAAAGTAGGGTTGTAAGACTGTACAGAAGCTATAAAATATAAAAATTCTTCCCACATGGTGCTAATATACTAAAAAAGTTAAAAAAGGCAGACTTTAATGCATTTTTCAGGTGAAAAGGTACTTAATTCTATTTTATGGTTTTATCATACACAGAATTTAGAATTCATTTATTCTCATCTTAAAAAACAACTCCTTTTATGTGGTAGTTTAGCAAGACTACTATCTATAGTTTTGAAGGTTGCACACTGCAGGACATGCCATCTGAGAGGGTGTCTTTCACTCTGGACATCTTGCATTGTGTATTATGATTATGACAACCTTATCACAGATAGCAGTAAAGAGGAGGAGGATGCCCTTTTCTAATGCACACAAGCACCGTATGGACTAATGGCAATCCTGTAGTTCAGAACACATTTTTTTCTTGAAAGGAGGGAAATTTTTATATAAGACAACTATTTAACATCTCTTAGATTACATGGAAAAACATACAAAGGTAGGAAAGTGGGAAAAAAGGTAAAAGCAGAATAAAAGCAGAATAAGATGAGTATACTCAACTACACTCATCACAAAGCATGCCTACCATGTTAGTGCTGTCTTGAACAAGGTCTCAGAGCTTTGCTGAACATCCTAGCTGATCAGTACTGAATTACAGGAGACTGGTGCATGCTTGGAAGGACAGTGCAGCACAAAGGAGGATGCAAGGCTTGTCAACCCACCCTCTATTAAAATGGAAAATTCCTATGGCACTGACATATTTAGGTATTCCTAAATTAAAGTAAAACATCACAACATTTTCAGTAAACATGATATTCTAAAATAAACATATTCTTATAGTTTAAAAACCTAGATGACTTTCTTTGAATCTGTCATGCAACTGAAGTTTTATTATTTATATTACTGATTTTTAAAATCAATGATCCTCAAAATTGAGCACCTTCCATTCCATTCGACAGAGGTGAGCTGTCTGGCAAATTGCAGCAAGCACTTCTGGTACCTGATTTTCCTTCACTGTTTGGAGCCTTAGACAAACCATACGGCAGGTTTGATGAAAGGGCAGATTTTGAGGGAGGTCGTCCCCGTTTCGACTTTTGCCTTTCTTCATCCCTCCTTTCATCCTTCTCACTGTCGTCTTTATTCTGGGTAATAACAACAAAATCTGTGAGAGGGGCCAATGTCTTATTAAAAATGAGCATTCTACTTCTCTAAGAAAAATTATAGCTCAAAAAGGTTAGGTATTTTATATGTCTGTGCTAACCCCTAATCTGTGCTAACGGAAAAATTAAAAACAAATAGTTTGCTAACATATTTTGTATTTATAGGAATGTGATATTCTAAAATTTGTAATGCCGCACTTATACTGTGAAGACCAGAGCTCAGTGTATTAGAGAGCTGTACAACTACTCAGCATTCTGCCTGTCCCTTACTGTTTCCCTGAGGAAAAGAAAGGTATCTGCCATCAGACATTTAAAACACTAGGTGAATCTCTAGAGCAAAGGCTGAAAATTGAGTGTATGGCTGAGGGTACAACTGGCCAACAGTTATGGCTTTTAAAATGAAGCATTTTAATTTTAATACATGTAAAAATTAGATTTCACATTTTTAAAAATGTAGTTGTCTCGAAATACCCTAAAATCTGGCAACCCTGAGTCTGTATCTCACAACACAGTGGTTAGTTCTGCCCTCTCTATAGACGAGGAACATGTCCTCTTTTTTGTCATTAGTCCTTTTTGTCACTCTTACCCTTTTTCAGTATAGCCTGTATAAGCATTTGAGTTGAAACCTATGCGCTAAGGATCCCTGGTTTTCCTGAAACAGTGTGGGATTGTGTTTACATTTTTTACTTTTTTAGCTTCTGGGTGAATAAAGAAAATCACAATCACCTTAAAAGAATCAAAATGATTATTACAGTGACAAAAGAGGACTTATAAAAATTACAATACAAAAGAATAACTCCTGTATCATAAAGGGTAAGAATCTATGTACATACTTTAGCTTTTTTCTTCTGCTTTTTCTTTGGTCCACCTTTGTCCAAAGGCCAGATTATCCTGTCGGCCTTCACCCATTCATCATACCTTAAAATAAAAAATTGAAAATTCACAGTAATACCTAATTTGAAATCTATTCACCAAATAAACATAACACTGAGGTAATCAGAGTTTGGTCCTAGTGTTGGCAGAAACATGAAGAGCACCGGGGCTGGTCTGCTGGTAACATGCCAGCCACTGCACTGCGTGCACTTTGTGCCCCTGCCCCCGAGAGCAAGGCAGCAGAATTCCTCCAGGTAGACAGGCTCTGAGGGAAGAGCTGGTGAGCAGACTCTAAACAGGGATTCAATTGAACTGCTCTGTTTTCCACAATTCCCACAAATCTGAGCTTAATGAAATAGGCCGACTCTGCCCTAGAATTCATTCTATTGATGGAATAATGCAAAGATAAGTCAGGTAAACAAATGTGTAATATGATCAGTTCCAAACAAATTTATTATGGATTCCTTTTCCTCCCAGAACACTCTCTTGCCTCTAGTATTTCTAAAAAAATTTTATTCTGAACTGTGTCACCTCTAAGACTCTGAATTTTTTAGAGATATTTCATTTTCTTTAAGTTTATTCTGTTCAGCTCAAATAGAAAACTCATTACCTTTTTCCAAAACACTGACATCACTTTAAAATTTCAATATAGTCGGTCCAAGTTACTAGTTAGGGGCAAATAAGTTAAACTTCCTTAAACTAAATAACAGTTCTTACATTATTGTAAATACAGTTATTTATAGAACTCAACTGAAATCTAAAATCTGAACATTTAAGAAAGAAAACAAAAAAAATTACAGGCAGTCCCTGCTTTGAACTGCACCATGTTAATGGAAACCACACCCTCGCTCTGTAACCTGGTCACCATGGAGTTGTACAGAGTAAGAACAGGGTTCCAATATCCACAAGTTTCAGTGGGCAGGGTACCGTGACTACCTATACTATAGACTGAAAACTATCTCTTCATGGCTTTACCCAGTATCTTCATTTTACCAGGCTTTTAAATATCTATATTCTTACCTTATTTAGAAATAGTCCTTTATTTCCACATTTACTGAGGACCTACTAGCATCCCAGGCACTGTATGAGGAAGTTACAAAGACAGACTTGCAGTCTGGTGTGTAAGACAGACATATAGTAGAATCATGTACAGTCTGGTAAGTGCAGTAAGAGAATTATGTATCATAACTCCCAATTCCAAAATTCCATAGGACCTATGAGACAACAAAGAAGCACAGGCCCAATCTGGAGTATGGTCCAGGCTACACTGACCTGGTCACCACACAATGTCATGTAGGTACTTCCAGCATTAATATTGCCAACCAAGGGTGGGTTCCAGGATTTCTCAACTAGAAACCAGAACTTCCCTCACAGTTGCACATCTACTCTGTTTTAGTCATCCATCCAGATTCTCCTAGGACTACACTGGCTCTATCTCTGAGCAGACCAGAACTATACCAGCTTTTAAAAGTACAAGAAAGACAATGAAAAATCATGCACCACGTATGTAACCAGCTAGGTTAACTAGTTTGGAAGATAACCAGTTAGGAAGAATGACAGCACATAATAAAAGGATTGTTGAGAAGAGTCATACATTAAAACATTAAAAAGATGAGAGAAGATGACAGGAAGGGGAAATTGTAAAAAGCAGAACAGATATACATAGATAGAAAGAGTGGGTGGTTGTGAGCTGAATAGGATCTGAGGGAAAAAGGCTACAATGTGCTGCAACCGCAAAGTTAAGAGAATTGAAGTTGGTAAATGTCTTTTCCCACTGAATTCAACAACATACATTCAAACAATAAGGTGATGGACTAAAGAGTTTGTTTCTAGTGTAGACAGAAAAATGAAGGGCATAGGGGCTGGTTTGAGAAAAGAGAAATTTTGAAGTTTTATATGCCATTTGTTAAACGCATACTCTGACACAAGATGAAAAGAAACCTAACTTCCCTCACTAAAGGTAAGAGTTAACATTTAGTGAGCACTTACTAAGTGCCAGGTATTCTAAGCACTTTGTATAATACAGATGCTACCACTGCTTCTCACAACATCTCTCCAACGCAGGTTCTTTATCTTGCCCAATTTAGAGATGACAGAATTAGGAGCTGAGGCATAAAGGAGCACATATCAAGTATATAGGGAAACCTTAGAGCACTCTGGGTTCAAGCAAATATAGGGCAAGCAGACATACTAAACACACAAGACTTTCTAAAGGATTAAAAGTAAAGCAGTCCCTGACATTCAGGAGCTGGCCTGGTATTATCAGCTAGGCCTTGGTGTTGCTTCAGAGCTGATCTGGCCCTAACAGCTAGGTCCTGATCTACTGAGCAGAAGCAATTTCATGGAACATATCCACAAGACAAGTCTGCTGCATGACCATGATGGATCGAGAGAAAAACAAGACCACTCCCTAATGGGGATAAACACAGGAAAAACGGGTACATTGTCCGAGCCACAAAAATGACCAAACATCGTTTCCTCCTGACTGCAGCTGCTTTATCAGTTGTGACATTAACCTTGGTCTAGTCTTCTGTCCTTCTAGATAACAGTTATTAAGATAACCAATCATAGAATTACCTCCACTTCTTGTCAGTATCCAATCCACAGCAGAGCTCCATTTCCTAAACCCTCCCCCAAATCATCTAACAAGCTGAAATTGAAGACCTTTCTAACATTTTTTGCATTAATTAACCAATTTAAAATTATTAAAATGCTTGAAACCTGCTTGATTTCTAATAAACATAATAAACAAACAAAACAACAAACCACTTGCACTGTTGGGAGCCATGGGCCTTCAGGATGTTTCCACAGAATTCTGGGCTATTGCTGTTCCCAAAGGTGGTGCCTTGGGCTTTCACTGATTCATCAAACACCCTCTTACTGAGAAGCACAGTGGTTCCCCATTCTTTGGGTTCTCCCTCACTGCAAATGAGTAATAAATCCAAATTGTTGAACTACAAGTATAATCCTGGTGACTTTTGGCTGTAACTACTGCAAAATAGTGGGAGTGTTGGAAATCTTGGAGAATCAGACACAAGGTATGCTTTCTTATTTTTAATTGAAGTATAGTTTATATACAATATTGGTTTCAGCATACAACATAGTGATTTGACAATCACATACATTACAAAATATTCACTATGTTAAGTCTAGTTACATTCTCTCACTATATAAAGTTATTACAGGGTTAACTAAATTCCCTACTTTTCATTCCTGTGACTTATTTATTTTATAACTGGAAGTTTATACTTCTTTATGCCCTTCATCTATTTTTACGCACACTCCCTCCATCACCCTCTTCTATGGCAACCACCAGTTTGTTCTCTGTATTTATGTAACTGTTTCTGTTTTGTTTGTTCTTTTGTTTTGTCTTTTAGATTCCACATACAAGTGAAATTATATGGTATTTGTCTTTCTCTGGCTTATTTTACTAAGCACAATACCTTCTAGGTCTATCCATGTTCATACAAATGACAAGGTTTCATTCTTTTTTGTGGCCAAATAATATTCCATTATACATATGTACCATATCTTCTTTATCCATTCATCTGTTGGTGGAACTTAGGTTGCTTCTATATCTTGGCTATTGTAAATAATTTTACATTAAACATAGGTGTGCATGTATCTTTTCAAATTAGTGTTTTTGTTTTCTTTGGGTAAATTCCAAGAAGTAGAATTAATTGGTTGTATGCTATTTCTATTTTTAATTTTTTGAGGAACTGCCACACAGTGGCTGCACCATTGTGTGCCTTCCCACCAACAGGGCATGAAGGTTCCCTTTTCTTCACATCCTCACCAACACTTACTGTCTTTGGATAGTAATCAGTGTGACTGGTATGAGGTTACTATCTCACTGTGGTTTTGATTTGCATTTCCCTGATGATTAGTGATGTTGAGCATCTCTCCATGTGTGTTGGCCATCTGTATAACTACAAGGAGTGCTTTGTAAATACATATATACCATCTGCTTTAGTTCTTCACAACATTAAATTGATCTTTTCTGAACCAATGAAAGAAATTTCAATAGTAAGAAAATACATTTCTTGCTTACCTAACATTCCATCCATAGTAATGTACCAAGTATAAAACTTCTCCATCATCAATTTCAGTGCTTTTAATACTGGCTTCATAGATTTTCTGTGTTTTCCCTCGTCCGTATTTCACTTTCACTTTGGTTCCTGTTAGACAGGGTTCAGTGTCTTCTTCATCTTCCTCACCTTCAGAGTCACATCTACTTTCAGTTTCTTCCCTGCAGTAAATTATAACATTGATAATGCTTCTAATAACTTAATGGAGAGCAAACTAGTATGTACTATAAGAATCCAACATGTAGAATAGTCACAACCTAAGTATTACCTTAATAGCATGTCAGTGGAGGAGGAGAAGAAGGAGGAGAAGGAGAAGATTTTTATGGACTATAAAGGTGCACTGTACCAATAGTAAGTCCACACTTCTTAAAGGCCAATCAGTAATCACAGTTAATGATGATACGGCATAAGATAAATCACTTTTGATAAAATAAGAACCATATGCTGTCTTTAGGATTTATACTCAAGTGCCACCTTATGTGAATATTATCCACAGGTAGTTGTAACTTCCTGCAACTAAATTCTCTTAAATCTACTTCACTACTACTGTCTGCTCAATTTAGAATGGTTCTTAGCAATATTAGTTTCCTGTGGGCAAAATAGTGAACATGGGCTATCTACCTTAGTAACCATCTTGTAAACTAGTTCATATTCTAAAGGTTTCCCCAACCTAACAAAGAAACAATAGATATTTGAAATCTAGGTCACTTGTTGAAACTGTGGAATAGCACCTGTAGAACAAAGCTTGCATGTCTTGCATTAATCTGTTTGTTTTTACTCATCTCCATCAGCTTTTCTTTGTTTTGATAATCATGTATAGTCACACAGGAAGTTCAACAGTATTTTTAACGTTCTTACAAATAAAATACTCTGCATTAAGCTTGCAAGGATTCAGTTGGGATTTGCCTCAAAGATCATTCTAGTGTCACAGTTTTAAATTTTCAAGAGGAAGTATTACGCTCTATAATAAATGTGGGCATTATTTTTGGTGACCACTAGAGGACCCGGCACAAAGAAGCACTGACAACCGGTTTGCCATGGGAATGTTTCTTCTCCAAGGGCACCTTCCAACTGTAGCCTGATAAGGTAATTTCAAAACACTATGAGAGAAACTACTTAAAATAGAAATCTGTAGAGATTAAAAAGTCTCCCACTTACATAATTCCTGCCATTGAATGAGAATACAGACTATTTGTCTATATATTCAATTTCTATTTAATAAAAGGAAATATTGTTCTTCCTATTCAAGTCTGAAATATTTTCTAAAATAAATATTTGCACCATTTACATATCAATTATGAAGGCTTTTAAAGCTACATAATTATATATATATTATGTGCTTTATTATGTACATAGATACATATTTTGATGCTCATTTTAAACAAAACTTCAAATTAAGCCCTGTTTTTTAAGTGGTTCACCTTTAAATTTACTGTCCAAATATTTGAAATACTACATTCATTTCATTTTACTCTAGTTATTTCCTCCCACTTATCCTAATTGTAATCATATTCACTGCAGAACTTTCTTTATTCACTAATCTAATTCGCATGGAATTGTGATAGCTCCTGAACCTATTTGTATTGAATCATACATTACCTTTCTCACTCACCAGTCTTTCCTATTTTTCCAAATATTTTTCTAAATGGTTACTTTTCAGATGGGTGTTAGCCACTAGTTGGATGCAGCAACTCCATTTTCCCCAAATTATGCCTAACAACTCAAATTTGTAGAAAATATAGCATCATAAAATAAAAAAATTTTTTTAAACTACGAAGGAGAGCTTGTATTACAAATAAGTATGTTATACTATGTTGCTGAATTAAAATTCAACTTTTAGTAGTATATAAAAATTAGTAAATCCATTTGACAACACAGAATTGGCCAACTAAGCATGGTCAGACACTACCTTGGTGTAGCTGAACTGTCTAATCTTTGGTTATTTTTAATTCAATTTAGTCCATACATGTGTAATACATGGAAAAAAAAAACCAATTTCACTCAACAGCAAACAGGATGGACATTTTTTTAAAAACCTGAAATTTATTGATGTGATGTGGGGCAAGAATGTATTTTCCATACTAGAATCAGGGGTGCATGCCACTTACTCTCATACAATAACTTGAAAAAGAACAATGTCTTAATAAAGCTAACACACAGAAACATCTGCCAGTACTGTGCACCCATGTGTTTGTTAGCTTTCCCACATTGTACCTTTTTTAAAATGGAATTTTTGCTGTCGCTGTTTCCTCTTGTCCACTTCCTCCATTTTTCTCCAGCTCCCTTCCCTGCTGTCAACTGCAGGACCTTTCTTTTGACTGGGTGGCGCAGCCTTCTTTGAGGCCACTGTTTAGGGCACAAGTGCTATTAAAATGGTGCGACCAGTATATTCTCCAATTCCGAAAGGCGATACACATCATCTTCACAATGTGTCTCACCTTCATTAGACAAGAGGAATGGAAGTCCCAATAAGAAAACGTTCCCTCAAACCTGAATCTCTAAGCAGGAATGGAGCACTGCTGTACCCCAGACAGGTGCTTCTGGAGAACAAATATAAGATAATGTACCTCTCTTGGCTTTTCTCTTCCTCTTCATCTGAGTCTTTGTCAGAATCCTCCTGCTTTTTAATTTTCTTCTCCTTTTGCTTTGGTGTGGTTTTTCTCCCCAGTAGTAGCTCAGTTTCTTTTTTATCTGCAGTTTCATAGTCATCATCTACATCCTTATTTTCTGTATCATTATCTTTTAATTTGTCTTCTGTTTTCTCTTCTTCAATTTCCTTTTTAATAGAATTTGTATCTCGAGCAATTCTCCTCCGTCCCTAAGAGGGGATAAAAGCTTTAAAATAAGTATCACTACAATGGGGGAAAAAATGAGAAATATGCTTCTTTTTCTTAAACCTTCACAGCAATGACTAGTTTTTTCTCTGGCTTGAGATGTGAGATGACAACCCATCAACTCCTATGTAAGTTTCTCTTCCCCTCAAAAGTAAGAGTGACTCATGTAAATTACTTAATTATGTCCATGTCTACTATGATCCTTGGCTACTTAATTTCTCCTTTGTTCACATTTTTGCATCTCACTTTTAAATTTTCTTGGCTATAATCTAAGTTTTAAAAGAATTATCTAAATGTTAATGATACAAGTTCATAATAATAATAATATTTATAAATCAACCCCCTAAATTATGGATACTTTAAAAGCTCTGTTGTCTATAATTCTACTGTTTTTTAAGATAAAATTTACATTATCACTGTATTTCTGTGTGATTATATTTTAAACAGACTGCATTACATCAGTGGCCAAAAAATGAGCTGATTTCCTTGAATGAGTATTTGGAGAGATCACCGGGTCAGCAGGAACTTGTTTTACCCCCAGCAGCTTCTATCTAGCCTCTTGTTGCATGCTCAACTGATGATAACTGGGGACCATTTCATCACCTCCTAAAGTTCTCCTACAAGTCAACCTCTACATAGTGGCAGAATTCCCCTCCATTTGGAGTAAAGTGAGGATAAAAAAAACAAGAGAGCCAGCAACTTAGGGAGCACTAGAATACTTTACACTTAGTATCTCAGTATCACAAATGTTTTCCCTAGTTCCTGCTTTGTGCTATTTAAACTTCAAAGGCAGAAAAAGAAGAAATTTATTTTTCTTATTACAAAGAACTAGAAATTAAGTTCCATGAGGACAGGGACTTTGTACTATTCATTTCTGTATCCTCAGACGTAGATAGTGCTTGCACATACTAGGTGCTCTTTAAATATTTGTACTTAAATGACTAAGAGCAACTGTTTATCTATCAAAATTTAGGTCTGTATGCTTTTGTCCCAGAAATAACATTTTTAGAAGTCTGCCCTCTCTATATTCAGATTAAGTGAGGAGGATATTTTTACAAGCATATTTATTACAGCACTTTTTATCACCATAAAAAATTGGAGAAAATCTTGAGGGTAAATTTATGGTACACCCATACTATGCAACACTCTGCAGATTTTTTACATAATATGAGGAAGGTCTTTATAGAATTGACAAGGAGGTATTATTCAGCCTTAAAAAGGAAGCAAAATCTGACACATTTATGGGTGAACCTTGAAGACATTATGCTGAGTGAGATAAGTCAGTCACAAAAGGACAAATACTATAATTCCATTTATATGAGGTACCTAGAGTAGTCAATTTCTTAGGAACAGAGAATAGAACGGTGGTTGCCAGAAGCTGCAGGAGACAGGGATGGGGAGTTACTGTTGAGTGGGTATGGTTTCAGTTTTCCGAGATGAAAATAGTTCTACAGATGGATGTGCTGATGCACAACAGTGTGAATGTAGTTAACGCCACTGGACTGTACACTTAAAAATGCTTAGGATGATAAATTCTATGTTATGTGCATTTATAATTTTTTGACTTAAAAATATCAAAGAAACAAACCAATTTCAGTGTTTCATGGAATTCACTGTAAGATTCCATTCACTAGATGATCATCAGAATGGACAGTTTTAAAAAATGGTTTGTGAGCAAATAAAAGAGAAGATAATTTCACCTCCTCTTTCATTAAATATGATTTCACTGGAAAATAAGATGTAATTTATAGTAAGGGCACTTCCTTGAAAGTGCAGTAACTTCTTTCTCCTTAAATGTGGTAAATCCTACTATGTAGACATCATTTGACAAAGATCAAAATAGTGGATGATAACTTCTACATAGGACTTAGATACAAACAGAACAAAAAGTACACTTATAAGATAAAACCAGTGTGCATGTGATTAGAAAACAAGGAAGGATGTGAAAATGTATAAGTTCCGCAAAAGCTGTACAGTGTGCTGTGGAGTAACAGAGAAGGAAAAGATCCAACCTGGCTAGGGGCACAGGTACTATAAATAAGATTTGTTAACTTAGTAATGATTTAGCAAGTCTTTACTATATGCTAGGCCCTCTTCTAGATGCCTGGAATTAGCCAGTGAACAGATTTAGCCCTAATCCCTGTCCTCATGGAATGTGATTCAGGTGCAGGGTAGGTAAAAGAAACAATAAATAATAAACAGAATAAATAAGTAAATTACAGATAAAAAGAACAACCTTAGAGGGATTGCCAGGGCCAAAGAGAGGAGGTAGGTTACAATTTAGATAAAGTTACCAGGATAGGCTTCGTGAGGTGATAATTTTAGCAAAAAACTTGAAAGAATTGAGTATTTGAGATTGACCCCAGATGACAATGACTTGAATAGACATAAATAGAAAACAACAGGAGGAATGGTCTCCAAGTAGAAGAAATAATATGTGACATTTAGGAAAAGGTTGCCAGGCTAGGATGCCTAAAGCATAACTAAATACTGGAAAACAAACTAGTTTCTTTGAAGTATTTTTGTGTACATAATGAAAAATTTTAAATAATCCTAAGATAAACCCGATAAAACTAGTATTAACTACTTACTCTTGGAGATTTTAATTCTACTTCTTCTCTTTCACTTTCACTGTTTGAATCAATATTTTCCTCGGGTTCACTCTTCACTTCTACTAATGGCATTTCTTGATCTACTTTTAGAGCCTCTTCCATTGATTCTTCTAAGTCTTTTTTTTCCTCTTTTACTTTGGGTTCATGGTGGTGAATGGTCCTGAATTGAATATTTGCAGAACGGCAGTACTCCTCAAAACCATAGAGATACCTAAACAATATTTCATTTTAAGAAACGTTAGTCCTAATATTTAACATGAACACTATTTTATTAAACACAATTTTTTTTTAAACTAAAACTCAAGACTTTTTTTTAAAGTGCTTTTTCTATGTTACTAATTTCTTGGTGTTTTACATAGGACTATAAAGCAAAATATTGTTCATAAAATAAAATTTCTTCCTGAAAAATCTGAACCTGTGATAACTGAACAGTTATCACAGTTTTGATATGAAGACTGTTCACCACAAAAGATGCAGCTCTACAGCATATATTGTCATTTCAGACTATAAACATTGCCTACATCCCTAACTTGAAAAGGAAATCAGGAAAAAATAAAACAATGGAGTAAAGCAGACTTGTGCACTGAAGTAATTTCCCATCACAAGTACCCAAATCTTTTTATATACTTTCCCTAATGCTCTTTGATGGATGTGTTCTTGTCTTTTAACAAATTAAATGGAAAATATTCCCTGTAAATACATATTCTTTCACAAATAAACTATGCTACTTACTTTTTATAAGCAGTTTTTACATTGTAAGAAGCAGCTGAATTCAAAATAGGAATGCCAAGGTCCATATAAATTTGCTTCCATACAGCACCACTATCAATCTGGAAAATTAAGTTATTTGTTAACATTTGCAAAGGGAAATAACCTTTACAATAATATTGTATATTCATTAAAAAAATGTTTATTACCTAAAATTACATAGAACAGTGCACCATTAGATGATTTAACTTCTCATCACACCCTTACTTACATTGTCACATCCACCTTGATGATAAACCAGTCTAAAGAGTTTGAAGAGATTGAGATCTTTGTAGCCCAAAACAGGTGGTTTGTTGATTGGAGTACCTTTTAATATCAGAGGGTAGAAATGAAATGTTTATTCGAGTGGTGTATCTCGAGCAATTCTCCTCCGTCCCTAAGAGGGGATAAAAGCTTTAAAATAAGTATCACTACAATGGGGGAAAAAATGAGAAATATGCTTCTTTTTCTTAAACCTTCACAGCAATGACTAGTTTTTTCTCTGGCTTGAGATGTGAGATGACAACCCATCAACTCCTATGTAAGTTTCTCTTCCCCTCAAAAGTAAGAGTGACTCATGTAAATTACTTAATTATGTCCATGTCTACTATGATCCTTGGCTACTTAATTTCTCCTTTGTTCACATTTTTGCATCTCACTTTTAAATTTTCTTGGCTATAATCTAAGTTTTAAAAGAATTATCTAAATGTTAATGATACAAGTTCATAATAATAATAATATTTATAAATCAACCCCCTAAATTATGGATACTTTAAAAGCTCTGTTGTCTATAATTCTACTGTTTTTTAAGATAAAATTTACATTATCACTGTATTTCTGTGTGATTATATTTTAAACAGACTGCATTACATCAGTGGCCAAAAAATGAGCTGATTTCCTTGAATGAGTATTTGGAGAGATCACCGGGTCAGCAGGAACTTGTTTTACCCCCAGCAGCTTCTATCTAGCCTCTTGTTGCATGCTCAACTGATGATAACTGGGGACCATTTCATCACCTCCTAAAGTTCTCCTACAAGTCAACCTCTACATAGTGGCAGAATTCCCCTCCATTTGGAGTAAAGTGAGGATAAAAAAAACAAGAGAGCCAGCAACTTAGGGAGCACTAGAATACTTTACACTTAGTATCTCAGTATCACAAATGTTTTCCCTAGTTCCTGCTTTGTGCTATTTAAACTTCAAAGGCAGAAAAAGAAGAAATTTATTTTTCTTATTACAAAGAACTAGAAATTAAGTTCCATGAGGACAGGGACTTTGTACTATTCATTTCTGTATCCTCAGACGTAGATAGTGCTTGCACATACTAGGTGCTCTTTAAATATTTGTACTTAAATGACTAAGAGCAACTGTTTATCTATCAAAATTTAGGTCTGTATGCTTTTGTCCCAGAAATAACATTTTTAGAAGTCTGCCCTCTCTATATTCAGATTAAGTGAGGAGGATATTTTTACAAGCATATTTATTACAGCACTTTTTATCACCATAAAAAATTGGAGAAAATCTTGAGGGTAAATTTATGGTACACCCATACTATGCAACACTCTGCAGATTTTTTACATAATATGAGGAAGGTCTTTATAGAATTGACAAGGAGGTATTATTCAGCCTTAAAAAGGAAGCAAAATCTGACACATTTATGGGTGAACCTTGAAGACATTATGCTGAGTGAGATAAGTCAGTCACAAAAGGACAAATACTATAATTCCATTTATATGAGGTACCTAGAGTAGTCAATTTCTTAGGAACAGAGAATAGAACGGTGGTTGCCAGAAGCTGCAGGAGACAGGGATGGGGAGTTACTGTTGAGTGGGTATGGTTTCAGTTTTCCGAGATGAAAATAGTTCTACAGATGGATGTGCTGATGCACAACAGTGTGAATGTAGTTAACGCCACTGGACTGTACACTTAAAAATGCTTAGGATGATAAATTCTATGTTATGTGCATTTATAATTTTTTGACTTAAAAATATCAAAGAAACAAACCAATTTCAGTGTTTCATGGAATTCACTGTAAGATTCCATTCACTAGATGATCATCAGAATGGACAGTTTTAAAAAATGGTTTGTGAGCAAATAAAAGAGAAGATAATTTCACCTCCTCTTTCATTAAATATGATTTCACTGGAAAATAAGATGTAATTTATAGTAAGGGCACTTCCTTGAAAGTGCAGTAACTTCTTTCTCCTTAAATGTGGTAAATCCTACTATGTAGACATCATTTGACAAAGATCAAAATAGTGGATGATAACTTCTACATAGGACTTAGATACAAACAGAACAAAAAGTACACTTATAAGATAAAACCAGTGTGCATGTGATTAGAAAACAAGGAAGGATGTGAAAATGTATAAGTTCCGCAAAAGCTGTACAGTGTGCTGTGGAGTAACAGAGAAGGAAAAGATCCAACCTGGCTAGGGGCACAGGTACTATAAATAAGATTTGTTAACTTAGTAATGATTTAGCAAGTCTTTACTATATGCTAGGCCCTCTTCTAGATGCCTGGAATTAGCCAGTGAACAGATTTAGCCCTAATCCCTGTCCTCATGGAATGTGATTCAGGTGCAGGGTAGGTAAAAGAAACAATAAATAATAAACAGAATAAATAAGTAAATTACAGATAAAAAGAACAACCTTAGAGGGATTGCCAGGGCCAAAGAGAGGAGGTAGGTTACAATTTAGATAAAGTTACCAGGATAGGCTTCGTGAGGTGATAATTTTAGCAAAAAACTTGAAAGAATTGAGTATTTGAGATTGACCCCAGATGACAATGACTTGAATAGACATAAATAGAAAACAACAGGAGGAATGGTCTCCAAGTAGAAGAAATAATATGTGACATTTAGGAAAAGGTTGCCAGGCTAGGATGCCTAAAGCATAACTAAATACTGGAAAACAAACTAGTTTCTTTGAAGTATTTTTGTGTACATAATGAAAAATTTTAAATAATCCTAAGATAAACCCGATAAAACTAGTATTAACTACTTACTCTTGGAGATTTTAATTCTACTTCTTCTCTTTCACTTTCACTGTTTGAATCAATATTTTCCTCGGGTTCACTCTTCACTTCTACTAATGGCATTTCTTGATCTACTTTTAGAGCCTCTTCCATTGATTCTTCTAAGTCTTTTTTTTCCTCTTTTACTTTGGGTTCATGGTGGTGAATGGTCCTGAATTGAATATTTGCAGAACGGCAGTACTCCTCAAAACCATAGAGATACCTAAACAATATTTCATTTTAAGAAACGTTAGTCCTAATATTTAACATGAACACTATTTTATTAAACACAATTTTTTTTTAAACTAAAACTCAAGACTTTTTTTTAAAGTGCTTTTTCTATGTTACTAATTTCTTGGTGTTTTACATAGGACTATAAAGCAAAATATTGTTCATAAAATAAAATTTCTTCCTGAAAAATCTGAACCTGTGATAACTGAACAGTTATCACAGTTTTGATATGAAGACTGTTCACCACAAAAGATGCAGCTCTACAGCATATATTGTCATTTCAGACTATAAACATTGCCTACATCCCTAACTTGAAAAGGAAATCAGGAAAAAATAAAACAATGGAGTAAAGCAGACTTGTGCACTGAAGTAATTTCCCATCACAAGTACCCAAATCTTTTTATATACTTTCCCTAATGCTCTTTGATGGATGTGTTCTTGTCTTTTAACAAATTAAATGGAAAATATTCCCTGTAAATACATATTCTTTCACAAATAAACTATGCTACTTACTTTTTATAAGCAGTTTTTACATTGTAAGAAGCAGCTGAATTCAAAATAGGAATGCCAAGGTCCATATAAATTTGCTTCCATACAGCACCACTATCAATCTGGAAAATTAAGTTATTTGTTAACATTTGCAAAGGGAAATAACCTTTACAATAATATTGTATATTCATTAAAAAAATGTTTATTACCTAAAATTACATAGAACAGTGCACCATTAGATGATTTAACTTCTCATCACACCCTTACTTACATTGTCACATCCACCTTGATGATAAACCAGTCTAAAGAGTTTGAAGAGATTGAGATCTTTGTAGCCCAAAACAGGTGGTTTGTTGATTGGAGTACCTTTTAATATCAGAGGGTAGAAATGAAATGTTTATTCGAGTGGGAAATTTAAGTTTCAAAGCTATCAATTTCTAATATCCCAAATGTCATTAATCAAAGATATACATTTAAAAAAACCTTAAATTATGTAAGACAAAACATGATATGCTCTATATTTTTTATATAGCATTGTAGTGGTATTTAGGTTTACTGCCACAACTAATAAAATCACCTAACTGCCACTGAGTTGGGGATAACGAAACTAAACCTTGGGACTGCAAGGTGTAACGATGCTGCTCATTCAGGAAGGGTGGGCAAGAGCACAGGCAACACAAGGGGCACTTTTTAGGTCATGGTTCTGTTGTCACTGCTTGAACACATGTTAACTATTAGCAGTGATCTGAAGTGTAACTTCTGAAGGCCACAGAATTTCTAGGACCAATCTGAGGATTTTCCAGTACTAATGCAACACCAAGAAGTATGATGATTTATAAAGGTTCTGTTTCTTCTAACTGTTAGGAAGTTCTATTCTGTTTAGAAAGGGCCTCATCTATTATGTTTACTTTGTTGAGACTAAGGATAAGGGCAGTTTACTTGCTGGAAAGACAGTATTGGCAATTAAATGGGCATGTAGATTAACAATGACTGTTTGTTCTCTATTACTGAAATACTGTTTTAGTATTTTTTGCTTTTATAAGTCCAAAGGAGCCTAAATTTAATCATACCAAAACTATCTGCCTATGTATTTCCACTCAAAATAGATACTAATAGTTTTTATTCCAAATACTTTATTGTCAGCTACAATTGATTCCTAGGCTTTCCTCAGAATCCAAATCTATATGTCCATGATTCTAACAAAAATGATGCATAAAACTAGAATGTAGAACTGAAAAAAAATTACTACTTTTAAATAATGAGCATGAAAATACCTCTGTCTTCCATAAACTTATAAAGCTGTTGGAGGAAGTTGTCCCTCTCTTCTGGATCAAGTTCTTCCTCAGGCTGTAAAAGTGAAATATATAAATATATAGATAACAATGAATGGGATACAATACACTGTTTTTGTTTTTGTTTTCATTTTCTAAATCCACTGTAAAGGGATAAGAGTTTAATGAAGCTGGAAAATACGAATTTTCTACAAGTCCCACAATGCCAGATTTTACATCCTGTTTTGTTATAGCTGTTTTGACAAAACTGTCAAGATGCACAGTCTCTACCCTTCACACCATTTATCACTCTAACTCTACCTTTGGGTATCACCACAGGAACTAAGAGTAGCCAGTAAAAAAAGGCTGAGGAATGGGGTGGGAGTATTTTCACCTCATTTGGTATTTTTTTAAATCCATCAAAATAACATGTGCCCCATACAAATATATTGATAGATGAGCACAAGATTCAAACATATTTATTATTTACAAATAATCCAAAAAGATGGCGGTGTGAGAGGAGAGACAGAGGCTTCCTCCTAAAACTGGATACAATTAGAAAATTTAATTGGCGCAACTAATCCTGAGAGAGCAACAGGAAAGAGTA